TTATACACCTACATTTTCATGTGGACGTATATTGTCACCCCTGTCGTCCGTCTGTCCACGATCTGTTTGTGGACCCTCTACGGATCACAATTTTTATCCGATTTTGATGAAACTTGATTTCTGTTGATATTGGCATGTAACAGACTGCAACTTCATGGATTATTGCCCCTGATTGTACGAAAAATCTCGTTTTTAGCTTGTGGACACTCTAGAGGTCAGAATTTTTATCCGATTTCGATGAAACTTTAAATAGATGTTTATAACCCAAAGATCACAGTTCTTTTGCTATTCGTGCATATATCGGATCGTAACTTCCTGGTTTATGGCTCTTGATTGTACGAAAAATCAGAGGTCACAATTTTTATCTGATTCAAAAAAACATTTAAATATATCACCGTTACACCATAATGATGGTTGAATATCAGACCGACACTGCCGGGCAAAAAAGTCACTCCCTGTACGCAAATGGTGTTAAAGTATATAATATCAAGGTTGTGGACCCTCTAGAGGTCACAATTTTGATCCAATTTTGATAAAACTTAAAACGTATTTATATCAGAAAGATCTTGTTTTCTTTCAATATTCGCACATATCGAACTGACCGTACCTTCTTGATTTATAACCGAAACTGCCAGACAAAATGGCTGCTCCACATACGCAAATAATGTAAAAGTATGTAAAACGAATATTGTGGACCTTCTAGAGGTCACAGTTTTTATCCGATTTTTATGAAACTTAAAATTTATCTTTATATTCTAAAGATCTCAGTCCTTTCGATATTCATGCATTTCAGACCATAACTTACTGGATTATGGCCCCTGATTTTACAAAAAATCATATTCTCTATCCATCTCTTGCAAAATGTGTGTGTATATCTTGCATGGCAACCACTAGTTTTTCCCCGGATTGTAAGTGTTATAATAAATCAACTGTAGTGGTATCTGGTGTTCTGTGTATCATGCATACCATCCATTACTTTAGGTAAATAATAAACTATTTCATTTAATTGTTAGGTAATAACCACGGGCCAGCATATTGATTGAAATATAAGGAGTGTAGACTAATAAAATCTCTGCCTATAGTCATTTGAATCAAATGAATTAATTAACATGGCGTTTATTTTATGATTTGTTTTTATATATGGTTGATTATATTTTGCAGTAAATCATAATAAACATGGGATATAAAATACATTGTATGCATGGAGTTAATCTCTTCTTTAAATAAGCTTCTATAAATAATGATTTGTATGTGACCTGAGGTTATTACGGTACATTAATTATATTCTTCTATCTATAACATAAAAACAGGTTAATTTCAAGATTTGTATATATTTTCTATGATATTGGTGGAATACATTGCCAGACAATAAAACATGCCTAGAGCAGCTAATGAATTCTATGAACCAATAGTTTATAATTTGTATCTTTAATCTGTTTGAAATGAAATAAAATGGGGTTTAATATCTAGATTAATGAAGACAGACAGACTCCATGTGCTCTGATACTATCAAGGTGATTTTGCCCAGACAGCATCAATTCTGCCTTTTAAAGGGTTCTTTTACGTGCATCTGTTTTTTGTTCCATTTGGATGACTAGACACCGTTCTTGGCAAGGCCTTTCACCTTCACATCTGACACCGACTGGTAGCCAGCACCACATTCACTGAGCCACCGTGACTCCATGCATGAATCAAGTACCTCTTTCACTGAGCCACTGTGACTCCATACATATTACTAAATATTTAATCGTTAGTTATATTATAAGCTTATTGAAAGGTGGGGCAATTTGTAACAACATTCACCAAACAAGGGTTAGGTGTCTCTCTTAATAAACACACACAGCTCTCCTGATTAAAGGAGTTTATCCTAATCACTTAATCCATTTAAATATCAATTAGTTAATTAACATGGCTGATAATTCTACTTATATTGTTAGAAATTTTATTTCAAGAATTTAAAATGGCTGAACAGGGAAAACTGGAGATTAAAGTTTTAATGATTGTCCCTTTTCCTTATAGTTTACACATACAAGTATCAAATTATAATACCTAAATTCTCATGTAAATTAGTTTCAACAAAATAAAATCATATTTTAAAGATACACTGCAGAAATAAGGGCTGAAAAGTTTGTGTTAATGGATAGAAATGTCAACAGATGATTATAATATGATAGTGGTGTGAAGGTACTTCACGTGGCCGTAACATATGTTACAACTGAAAAATATTAATAATTTTTAGACCAATATGCTTCTTGGTAAGACCAGTTTTGATACGCCCACATCGAAATGTGGTCGTATATTGTCGTCGCCTCCGTCCGTCCGTTGTCCACAAATGAGATGAAGAAGCCTATTAGTTGAGAGACCATTGTTATCATCTGATTGATTTTATATTTATACACTGTTTTCATGCCTATATATAATCGTTTTGATTGACTTCAGATTGATACACAGAGTTTAAGGTCTTGAGACGAACAATTATATTGATTTTCAATACATTGGCCAAACAAATTCTAATGATTTTCTGATAATTACTTAATGAGTTGTTACCCGTAATCAGATTCTAGTGTATTATAAATGTTTCATTACCTACAAAAGTAAAAATATGCGACAACTCTTGTTGACTGACCGGACGATTTAGCTGCTGTGGGCATATGTTTCGTTGCCTGGCAACCTATCTTATTGTCTATATTTGAAAATTATTCTGGAATAAACATTGAGCACCCCCCCCCCCTGTCCCACTACACACCTTGATATGTTAATGATTCACTCTTGTATTATAATATTTATTATATATTTTTATTGGCAAGTAAGTCAATTAAACTCTAAGATACTATAACAGTTGTCAATCATGTCAAGTTTATTGATTGGTAAAGCCTATTATGTAATACGAATACTGGGTTTGGTCCAACTGTTGGGATTAACACAGATTAAGTATAGAGCTAATCTGAGGAATGTTTTGTCAATATGTTTTCTGTGTTCAAACATTGAAGTCGTGAATTCAGGTTAATCAGAGTTTTAGTATTAGCAGAATTTACCAGTTTATTTGTTGCTTTTCTACTTGGTTTAATTAATTGTTTAATATGATTTTACATGTAGGTGTGTTGTGTGGACGTATATTTCCCTCAATGGTATTGGATATATTAGTACCTATGTAGATTTCTTTGGATTAAATACAAAGGATAATCTTCATTGAAAAATAAGGTAAAGAAAATATTTTTGAAAAATACAAACATGTAAATATATGTTGGTGTTTCTAGTTGATGAGGCGTCACAGTTTGTTATTAATTATTTGAAATGTATAGGGACTAATTATGTTAGTTAAACAAACTGATAATTACAGGCTACCTATTCACCGAGAAACAAGTTACCTATCGTCATTGCTAATATCTCAATAACTTCTTCAAATTGTGAAATTATGAATGAAATTATCAAAAACATACTTTTTCTCAGAGTTAATCCTATATTTACTATATTTACTTCATAATCTCTGGTTATACTCATAATGGTGGATTTATGATCTCTGGTTTTACTCATAATGGTAGATTTCTAATAATGGAATGCACCAAACACCGCCGGAGTGAGAGAAGACCCCCTAACAGGTCCACTTTTCACTCTCTGGGCCCACTACTTTAAATGCCTTGAAAATGCACGTTATGATCATTGATTACATACAGAATTACGTTCCGGCTCTAGTGAAGAATATTGAATTTCATAATAATACATGGTTTATTGTTGTTGCCCGTTTTCATATTTATCTGTATAAAACAATGTTTATAAACATGTATAATCTCATGTCCATACATGTATATTATAACAAGTATAATAGCACTATCCATATAACTATATGTCATATACAATATATTGATGGGGTTTAACATCCTACTGTTCTGATAACAGATCAATTTAACCTACAGCTAGATCCAGTGTGCGTGGGGGGTCGTGCGGGGGGGGGGGGGGGGTCCAAACCCCGCACTGCTCAGCTACATAAAAAGAATTGTAAAACAACACTTTTATGAGAAAAGTATAAGGGTATCATGTGTTTTATCCTGTATCATCAGATGATGGAATAGGATTGGCATTTAAAGCGTGAAATAATGATATAGACATGTGTGATATCACAATTAATACTTTGCATCAATGTAATTGAATATTGTGATGCTATTAATTTAATAAAACAATTGAAGTGAAACAGGGTGTTGGATTTCTCTCTTTAAAAAGCTCAATGTGTATGTATGTCTATGATGATGGCATCAAGCATTGTCAACTGTCACATTTCCTTAACAGGAGAGGGGGGTTGGATGGCTAAATGATTAGCACGCGCACGCTGTATCATAAAGTCTGTCATTGAGTCAACTGGCATGGTTTCGAATCCCCCGTTGTACGTGACAAGGAATAGGGTCGCCTGTCAAACCTCGTGGGTTTTCTCCGGGTCCTCCGGTTTCCTCCCACTGCTAAAGACCTCTACGCGCAAGCAAATTATTGACATAAAATTAAACCATATGTTAGTCCCGAAATGACCTTGTTTGTGTCGAGTGGACGTTAAACCCCATTTCTCTCTCTCTCTCTCTCCTTAACAGGAGCCTGGCAAACCCCCTCCTGCAAAAATTCCTGGATCGGGTCCCAAGATCTTTTTTTCATTTTGTGTTTCTGGTCACTCCACCTAAACACATTGAACTTTTAATAGACAGGACATGAGGATTCTGTGTAATACTATATTCTGGACATGATGATTCTGTGTAATATTATTTGAATGAAACATTTTATAAACAAACTTTGGCTGCCAGAAAAATACAGGCATTGATTTATATTTTCCTTTCAGTTTATTTTAAAGGTTCAATCATAAATAATTTGATAAAAATGTGATATTTAATATTTTTCTTTTCAGACTTTGGTTCTATGACTGAAGTTTCTATATAACAGTTAACAATATGGAAGATATAATCCTGTCCTAGTGGAATGGGAAAATTATAAGTTAAATTGTGTCTCCGTTAACGGTTTGAGCCAGTTATTAAAAATGTGATTTCATATGGAATATAACTGATCCTGCCCCAAACTAGTGGTTTGTATAATTCTGTGAACCAAGATGGCTGCAATGAACTGTCAGCAGAAGTCAGTGACATCAAGAAGATCATCCAAGATCCCTGTTCCTGTTTGGCGTCGCCACATCACTGATGACGTGGGTATGCTACAAAATAGTGCTCAAATCCACCAAGAAAATAGAAACTGTCTAAGTAAAGATGTGATAGGAACGTCAAGTTGTAGTGATTTGAAATCTGAAGGAGTATCAAGGGTTAGCCTGCTATTGAATAATGAACTGTTTCAAAAACATTTAGTAAAACATGCCGATTTTCTAAAGCGTCACACATTATCATCCAAACATTGTGGATTACGTAAATCTATGTCTAATATTGACCTTTCGACCTTAGGACTGCAAGATGCTGTGTCAGCAGTAAATAATGAAGAAAATAGAAATGGAGAAAGTAGTTCTCATTTCTCGACCAAAAATAAAACAATGACCCGTGAGAGGCGTAAATCAATATCCTGTGACCGTCCATCTCTAGAGCATCTTCAAAGTAAAATGACGGCTGCATTTCAAGCAGCTTCAAATAATTCTGCAACAGCTAAACGACGTTTATACATTCCTTCCTTTGCAGAATTTAAAAAGTCCCGACAGTTTGTAGTAAATGATAAATATGAAATAATGAAAGAAAATTTGTGCTCATATTCCTTGGACACCATAAACGAGGATGATCAGTTTAAACATGATGGCTATAGTCATGGCTTGACAAGGACAAAAATCATCACTGTACAACCATGTGAAACTTATTTACAGAGTGATAGTACTTTATCAAGTTTAATAAAGGAGAAATCTAGTGCTTCCTGTATACAACACAAGGGAAATAACTCTTCAATCATTACTGCTGATGGAATTGACACAGACAATTCTGACGAGGTAATATTAACAATGAATGTATGTACATGTAGTAATGGATCAGCCACTACAGTAAACCTAAACATTTGAAGTGGCTTTTGGGATCCCTCTCAGATTATGGACGCTGCAACTTAGGTTTCATTAGTTCCATAGTAGAATCGCCTTTGGTTGGGTTCACTAAAAACCCATTTACACTGGGCCAGAATAAAACAAACCGTACCAGGTCTGGATCAGGCCATGATAACTCACACAACTGGGCCAAAGTTTACATTTACTAGGCCTGGCACGTTACTGGGTTCATTCTGAAGCAGACGAATCAAGTATCGGTCACGTTACTGGGTTCATTCTGGAGCAGACGAATCAAGTATCGTTTATAGAAGGATTAAAATCTGACAAAGTTGCTGCTCACGTTCACGATTTCATTTTGATGATTTCGAAATAGCAAGACAATTTTTACCTTTATGATTAATAGTTCATATATATGGTTCTAATTTCATTTTATTTTGATTTAATTTCATTTTTCAAGGAATAAATTTTTAGCTGTTTTAAAATTTAATTGTATTGCGTTTTAAGTTGAAAAGTTTGAAATATCAAATTTTAGAAATTACCTCGGTACACTGATTGACAGTCAATTTCACTGCCATTCATTGGTAAACATGGTATCATTTAATCTTGTGTATTTAGCATTAATTTCTTTAACATTTATTCAATAAAAAATCTCTCTTTGAAAGTTCATAAAAAAACATATCACCCAAAAAACATCTAATTTGTACTTGTGTCTAGTTTAAAGCTGACCACGAGAAAATTAATCGGTCACCCGGTCAGCTTTAAACTAGACACAAGTACAAATTTTTTTGGTGATTTTAAATGTTTTTTTTATGTATTTTGAAAGAAAGATTTGTTATTGAAAGAAATTAATGTTAACTACACAGGTGTAATCCAAGAGCTCTGTTACAAACATGAACCAATAAAAACAGAGTCACAGAGTTCAGTTTTTCAATGAAATACAACATTTTAATTCCTCATACATGTATCTATATTTTTTAGAAGTTTACCCATAACACATTTAGAAGTTGACCCATATAGGCTAATAGTTGACCCATTTAGGCTAATACATTTTGAAACATTATCTATCCTTTTTTTTGGCTAAGATGAAAAAATATGCAAAGAAACATGTCAGATACGACTTTTTGACCCCCACATATATAATCATTAAATCTACAGTTTTCATCATCAAAAACATGGCATGTCTGAGAGAACCCAATAACATTTTATAACTTCCGGCATGATGTCAACAAGAACAAACCATCTCTCGTCATCATGGATTAAGGGGATTTTGATATTTTCTTGTGCAATATTTATAGCCTATAGCAATGTTCTGACCCACTATGTGATTAACGCATCGTGAATCCTCAGCTTATTGGGTCAACAGCTGTGTTTTTTGCTTGTAGCACTGTGTCAGATTCATCATAAATACAGCAATCCATGATACATGTTTACATCTATTACCACTTATATACACAGTTGCATTTTAAAAACATCAACCAATCATAAATTTGTTGTTGAAACTTCTAGAAAGGATACAATTGTTCAAAACAATAAATTTTTGGGGGGAATCGTATCTACACTTGTAATGGATGCAATATTTTAATTTATACACTTCCAAAAGTTTCATGTGTAGAATTCCTTGTCTTAATGATGAATAAATAAACCGGACTTTTATAATGTAATGTCTCCAATAGTTTTTTTTATGGAAGATGTAAAACTATGTGTTTTATTATGTATTATAGGTTTTTATGGAAGATGTAAAACTATGTGGTTTATTATGTATTATAGGTTTTTATGGAAGATGTAAAACTATGTGGCTTATTATGTATTATAGGTTTTTATGGAAGATGTAAAACTATGTGTTTTATTATGTATTATAGGTTTTTATGGAAGATGTAAAACTATGTGGTTTATTATGTATTATAGGTTTTTATGGAAGATGTAAAACTATGTGTTTTATTATGTTTTATAGGTTTTTATGGAAGGTGTAAAACTATGTGGTTTATTATGTTTTATAGGTTTTTATGGAAGATGTAAAACTATGTGGCTTATTATGTATTATAGGTTTTTATGGAAGATGTAAAACTATGTGTTTTATTATGTTTTATAGGTTTTTATGGAAGATGTAAAACTATGTGTTTTATTATGTTTTATAGGTTTTTATGGAAGATGTAAAACTATGTGGTTTATTATGTTTTATAGGTTTTTATGGAAGATGTAAAACTATGTGTTTTATTATGTTTTATAGGTTTTTATGGAAGATGTAAAACTATGTGAAATGAGAGATAATGGTGAAGAAAGTTCTGAGGAGAGAATAGTAAGTAATTTTGTTCCTTTATACGTTTCGGATTCAGAGCCATGATTGATATTGTTCGGGTTTATTACTGTTTTAGTAGCCAGTACAGATGAACACTTAGTTTTATAATAATAATAATAATAGTGCACTTTTAATGTGCTGAACTCCATACACTAAGTATATATGTTCGTAGCGCTACACAAAGGCTGATGACATTATGGTTTAAATGTGCTATAACAGTTTTCTGTCTCATAGTATTTTTTAAACAGGTGTGTTTTTAATAAACTCTTGAATTGCAATAAAGTTGGGTCCATTCGTTCGATCATTATCACTTTATCAATTTATGGGCCATATTATCTCCTGATTACTTTGAGGTTAAGATTTAATTGGAAAGGAGGGCACCTATTAATTTCTGATAACGACTTCCAGACTTCCCTTGTTCACACTCTAGTGGTCCATTGTTCAGGCTCTCGAGGTCCTTTGTTCACACTCTAGAGGTCACATTTAACATCAGATATTTTTTAAAAATTTGAAACCTTTTTGAGACGCTAAATGCTATAATTATAAAATGATTATGCTAGGTAAGTTACCGTATTCATTTTGAACAATTTTAGACAATTTATTCCATATCGTTATAGCACTTCACTGTCACTATCTCTTTCAAATGTTTATGGTTTGTTGAACATATTTATTTTTATCAATGTTTTTAAGCTCATTAGATGATTAAATGCCAGTTGATAACCAAAACAAGCAAGAATTACCAATTACCCTTTTTGTTAGAATCAAGTTGTCAATGTTTTTGAATAAGTTCTACATGTTTACCAAAAGAAGGGTTGTTATCATTTTCTCGAGAATTGTGATGATAATTAAAATAACCTAGAGGTGTATTGTTTGATATTCAAGTAGAAATAAACATTATAGTTCATTAATTTATTCAAGAATCTGTGATAGCTGTCTTAGAAGATGTAAATATATTTGTTTTGATGAGTGGTTCTTAATAACACATGCTGTTTCAGGAATGATGTTAACATTACTGTTTGTAAAGTATATATGGACACAGCTCACCAAATATTTCTACGCCGTCACCCACGAATGTAGGGCGAAAGTTATTTTTAGTCTTTCTCTCCCTTTCCCTTTTTCCCCCTTTTGCATGGCGATTTTTGTTGACTTTTTGGTGTAGAATCAAAGAAAAGGGTTTGAAAATACATTTTCTACCAGGTTTTGGTGAATATTCATGATTTTGAGGCGGAAGGATACAAGAGTTGAGAGGTTGGTTAGGTTGAACCTCATACGTGCTTTTGAGCAAGAGGTTGCCACATGTTGCTCCATCTGTGGTAGAAAGCGTTCTACCCAACGAAAATTTGGGAAAAAGTTAGAGCCGGTCTAAGAGACGAGAATTTACATTAAAGTCAATGGGCAAATGTTTAGTGATCTGTGGCCATATACTAGGTCATGTTTTGTCTAGTATTGGACATATTTTTATTTCAATAATTTACTTGCATGCAGTGGTTTTCAACTATGTCTCGACAGCAGTTTATTGACTAGATTTGATGAGGATACTTTTTGCCTTTAAGAAATCGGATCTTCATCATATGTAGAAGTTTGAAAACATCTGTTAAAAATGGTAGCCTGTACGATGATCACAGGGTTTTTGACTCCAATGAAATGCTTCCCACTAGAGTTTAAAAACTATAGCCTCTATCGAATTTACAAAGTTTGCGAAAAAGGAGCATAATTGGCATGGGAGGTCGCAGTACTCTGTATATTGATTGACTTTGTCCACTGATTACCACAATTTGAAAAGATCTGTCAATTAAACTGTAGCTCATATCGCAACAATTCAATACACTCACATTTGTTTGTTCATCCAGTCTCCTGTTTTATTTGTTCTTCCAGTCTCCAGTATTTCGATCAACATCTGATGTATGTAGCTATAGTTTAACAGCCGAGGCACAGAGACGTCGAATAAACCTACGCAAGCAAAGACAATGTAAAAGTGAACCATTTGCAGATATTCCAAGACCAGAAATAAGACACAGTCAGTATTTAGGTAAGTCGAACTTTTCACAATGAACTTCAGCTGTTTATTTGACACCAAGGATCTCAATTCTCTACTCATATATCATGTATATTTGGACAGATGCTTGTTGATGCACTATATTGTTATCATCCCTGTACACCGATTCTATTATCCTTCATGCAACAATTATTTTAATGTTCATGAGGCCAAGTATCATATTTTAGATTAAAATTTTCAATGATTTCTGATGATTACTGCCAGATGTTTGGGTCGTGTTCATATATAAAAATCTTGTGGATGTATATGGACTCTAAATTTATATACATTGTTTTTAAATAATATTCCAAGATTTAATCCTTTAAGAGTTATGGCCCTTGATCACTTTGAAATATATGGTGGACCTTCTCTCTAGAAGCTAAAGTTACCATTCAAGTCCTCGAGTTTCCTCCAGCGAGTTAATTAATGGAATATAATTGGAATGTATGTTAGTCACAAAATGACCTAGTTTGTGCTGTGTGGAGTCTAGGCCCATTTCTCTCTCTCTCAAGGGGGGTTTGATGGCCAAATGGTTAACATGTGCGTGTTGTATCATAATTGAGTCAACTGGCGTTGTTTCGATTCCCTGGTTGTACATGACAAGGAGTACAATCGCCTGTCCAACCTCGTGGGTTTTCTCAGGGTCCTCCAGTTTCCTACCACTGCTAAAGACCCCTATGCGCAAGTGAATTATTGAAATAAAATTGCACTATTTGATAGTCCCAAAATGAACATTAAACCAAATCTCTCTCTCTCTCTCTCTCTTGGCACATATGTACCAAGTTTCTGGACCCATGCTTTTCAGATGAAACTTAACATATACATTAATGAAGTTTGTAGAATCTCCAGAGACTACAATTTTGTTAGATTCAGGTGAAACTAAACAAATAATTTAAGGATAAAGAGATCTTGAATAAGTTCCATTTTGGTGTGCATCAAAATTCAACTTGTTGTTTAATAGAGCCTGGGTTGGTAATTCACATTGTATTATGTAGGCATCAAACAGGTTTATGTATGTATTTCTAATGAACACTATTGAAAAACTGTATGTCGACCTTACAACTGACAGCAACTGGCGCTTCGACTCTTACAACCCCTAGAGACTAGTTCCAGTCAGTTAAAGCCAGTTGGCCATGTTTAACTTTCTACAACTCACTTCAACTAGTTGCACTCGACATGAACATTCTTACAACTGGTGTCATCTCGTTTCCATGGAAATAACATCACATGATAAGAGACACGTGTCATGTGACTTTATAAATAAGCAAAATGGAAGCGAACGAAGACACCCCCTTTTCAAATGATGATGATGTCGACAATAATGTATTAATAGAATTGTGGAAAGACCGACCATTCCTTTTGGGTGCTTCTTCTAAGGTATTTGCCATTTTGTTGATCACATGGTGAATAAATTAACAGTCGCATATTAAATGGACTCGCTATCAGTTCCGAGATGAAATATGAACGCTCCGAAGACTGCCAGTTGTTCTCACTTGCTGTATTCTTGGACAAGTTTTTTACTTTGGGTTTATATTGTGTAAATAACCCAGGCGATGGAATCCAAGCAACTTTTATTACTAAAATATTGTTTGAAATAGGACTATCGATTTTATTTGAACTTATTGACCTTGACCAGTCAGTCACCTTTGATAATGCTGCTTGAGTAATTAATGACTGTGTTGTTAATTACTTAACACCACTAGTGAAAGTAAAAAATTATAAACCTAACACTACTTGACAGTATAGAAAGCTAATAGTTTTCTATGATTCTCAATGGTTTAAAACTAAACATTATACACAGAAACTCCTGCTAAAACAACACAACTAAATGAAAGCTGGGTTGTAGTGTATGTTAATGGGTTATATAAGGGTTTATGTAAATACTCAATCAAAATGGTAGGCTACCTATCAAAAATCAAAAACTATGGTAATCGCTATCATCTTTGGTGGATTTGGCGCTTTTGTCCGAACATCCAAATTCATCTCAAATCTGTTTGTAAGCTGCCTGACTTGCTCCTATGACAACCATGCATGGTCGATTATCGTTTATACCCATTATAGATGTAAATTTCACCAAATTGTTCACCATTCAAATAGAATACCATCTTTATTGTTCCATGTTACTGCCCATTTCAGCCATTTTTAACAGAGATTCCTTCTGAATTCATGATATATTGATGATAGTAATTTATAGTTTCAATTTCTAATTCTAGATACTTGTGGTCTGCTTGACAAAAACCTGGATTGTGGTACACAAACATTGTGCCTGGTTGATAAATACAGTAGTCCTGTTTATACCAGTGATGATATTTCACAAGCTACAAGTTATCTCAGTTTGGCAGAATTTGATGTATCTGAGGTAATTTTGTATATTCTTTAATATATTCATTCTTATTATTCTCCTTCTTTTACCTAGTTATTTTTTCATTCAATTTGCTTGAAATGTATGTGCAATCTTCAGATAAATAGAAGTGAAATGAAATAGGGTTTAACATCCTACTGTTCTGCTCCGACTGGACTACAGAAGATGGGCATACACCATACAGTGTTGCTATGACGGAAATTTTGCCCGGATAGCGGCACTACAGCCTACTCTTATTTCAAATTCCATCTGCCAAGACCTCTTTTATGTGCACACCAATTTGTACACAGGACTTGGAGTTTTTTGGTCCCACCCAAACAACTATATGTTGTCCCTTGCCGGGTCCTCCGTCCTGTACCACTGACAAGCAGGAACCATGCTGGAAAATCCTGATAAACTTTCTCAATATCAAACACAGGACTTCTAGGTTAGTAAGCCAACGTCTTACTCACTGAGCCCCTACAGCTCCCTCAGATAAAGGGGGATTGGATGGCCGAATGGTTAGCACGTGCACGCTGTATCATGAGGCCTGTCATTGAGTTAACTAGCGTGGTTTCGATTCCCCGGTTGTACGTGTCAAGGAGTAGGGTTGCCTGTTCAACCTCGTGGGTTTCCTCCGGTTTCCTCCCACTGCTAAAGACCCCTATGCACAAGGGAATTATTGAAATAAAATTCAACTATATGTTAGTCCCGAAATGACCTAGTCTGTGTCGAGTGGATGTTAAACCCCATTTCTTTCTTTCTTTCCCTCAGATAAATGGAACAAAGAGGTCTATTTCAACTATTTGTGTTGATTACGTTTCATGTATAACCCTTATTTGTGTTGATTACGTCTAGAGTATAACCCTTATTTGTGTTGATTACGTTTAGAGTATACCCCTTATTTGTGTTGATTACGTCTAGACTCTAGAGTACAACCCTTATTTGTGTTGATTACGTCTAGAGTATAACCCTTATTTACATTGTAAAATCTTCTAAACACTATATGGCAAAATCTTTTAAATTGAAGGGTGCTATCAAATTTCAACGATTTCTTATACTTACTTAAATTATTGCCCTTGGATTATGTCAGAATCTTATCAATGTGCCAATGATATTTACCTAAAGATTCATAACAACCCTTTTCGACTGCTTCTTCAAATTTCTAGTTTTCGTTGAATGACTATCATTTAATATTTCATGCCCAAATTGCTGTGATTATTGTGTTAGTTACGATTCATTTCTTGTGATTTTGTTAATGAGTAGCGTGATATTTGTATTTAATGACAGAGTGAAACAGAATGTGATGTAAACGCTACTGGTACAAGATTAAGTAATTTAAGTTTAGCCAGTAGTAATGATAGTGGTGTTATTGGCTATGAAAGTTCTCTAGATTCTACAAACAACATCTCACTCCAGTCCACTCAAAATATATCTTCTATACCAAACTCAATAACTCCACCAGACATTGGAGTGAGTGACTCTCCACATCCACTTCATCCAGTGTCATCATCAAATCCTAGTAAGGTAAGTCTTTATTACATCTTGGTCAGATTTCTTTCAACCACCGAACTTTATCCATGAATATTGTTTGATCATAGTAAAAAGAAATCATGAATTAACCTACGCCAATGCACATCGTTATCGTCATTTAAGAAACTTTTAAAAAACTCATCTGTTTCAAACAAGTTATTACTAAGAGCTAAAGGCTCTTATGTAGATATCTTTTGTCTAGCGCTACAAGCATAATATTTGTGTTGTTTAAAGAAATTGAAATTTATTATTATTTTGATGAAACAATTGGGTAACTTCAGACACTTTTGACAGGGCTGTCTACTATGCCAAGAAACATTTCTGGGGCTCTTGCTTGGTGTTCTCTACATCTGAGAATTGAGATTTAAAAAAGTTTAAATTAGAATAAGTAAATTGAAATATACGGTCATTGAAATAAGTATATATATATAGATATATTTTCTAACTCAACACAATTAAGAGTGGAGTCAACTTTAGTATTACTCACTTTATGGTTTTCCCAAGCCACCTGATTGCAGCATTTGTCTAATACCTTGACACATTTATAGATGATTTCTGTGCCTGGACACATCTGTATTGTAGATATTTATAGTATCAGTTTATATTCACTGGAAATTGCTGAAAGTAAAATGTGGGAAACATTATGTGAATCTTCCTAAACCCTAAAAAATATATGTACATAATATTAATACGAGAGAGAGACAGATACAGACAGACAGACAGAGACAGAGAAATGGGTTTTAAGTCCACTCAACACAAACTTGGTCAATTTTATTTAAAAATTCACTTGCGCATAGGGGTCTTTAGCAGTGGGAGGAAACTGGAGAACCCGGAGAAAACAGACCTTATGATACAATGCGCACATGCTAACCATTCGGCCATCCAACAATTGAACGTTTATATTTGTTTACGAGAGATGGAGGGAGAATATTTTAAGAATTCTTGAGTTTCTTGTATTGATATTAAATCAAGCTATTAGTCTATAATTTGGATTGCTGATATAAGAATTGGGTAAATCGTGGATTGTTCAGGTGAGTGGGGTTACTGGAACCAGGTATGTGGTATCACTTGAGTTTCATTAATTAGGTGTCATTGGTTATTTGGATATTACATAATATAAATTACATTTATTGTCTTGTTGAAAGTGTTATAGCCTCTTTAAAGGCTGTAACAATACTAAAGATATTAGTGAATGGGTGATCTGTAGATTTAGAATAAGCTGTTGACATACTGTTACCAGTGTAACGTTACATTGTTTCCAGGCAACTGACGTCATCATCTGCTGTCTTCTAGAGACTACAATAATCATCTCTATTATATTTATAGAAGAATGAAAATCCTTACAAGTAGAGGTATAATACAAGTCATAATAATACTTGTCAGTTCAATACTCTTAAAGGTAATCTTTATCAACCAAGTAATAAATCCACAAACTTGTCTTATTATCAACAATGAGAAATATACGAAGACGTCCATTAATCGTTTCAGATTTTATTAAAGGAAAATTGTTTAATTAGTTGTGATCTTGAGGTAATGATCATTGAGTTCAGGTTCTGTAAATATTTTACCTTCTGTGAAGAAGTTCTCAGCAAAAGATTTATGTAAACTTGACATTAATTCTGCCTGGCAGTTTTTAAAGATAGGTTGCCAGGCAACTAAACATACGCCCACAGCAGCTAACTCGTCCGAGCAGTCGACAAGGGTTGTCACATATTTATTCTTTTGTAGGTAATTAGGGGAATTTAATAGACAATTTCATACAGATGACATTATAATTTTTGTCGTTTGAGGGTTCACAAGGTTCTAACTAGAAGTAATTATTGTAAATTGCTGAAATTCAATAGGCTTTTTCGTTTCACTAATTTAAATCATGCATATAAATTTCACAAAGATCGGGAGATAACTTTTTGCGTTAGAGCATTCAAAAGGATCAATAAAGTGAAACAAGGGCCATAACTCTAGACGTAATAAACGGAAATTGCTGAAATTCAATAGGCTTCTCTACTTTACTAATCTAAATAATGCCTATAAATTTCACAAAGATCGAATGATAACTTTTGTCGTTAGAGCGTTCACAAGGTTCAATAAAGTGAAACAAGGGCCATAACTCTTAGACGTAATAAACGGGAATTGCTGAAATTTAATAGGCTTCTTCGTTTCAGAAATCTAAATAATGCATATAAATTTCAGAAAGATCGGATGATAACTTTTGACGTGAGAGCGTTCACAAGGATCAATAAAGTGAAACAAGGGCCATAACTCTAGACGTAATAAACAGAAATTGCCGAAATTCAATAGGCTTCTTCATTTCAGTAATCTAAATAGTGCATATAAATTTCACAAAGATCGAATGATAACTTTTGTTGTTAGAGCGTTCACAAGGTTCAATAAAGTGAAACAAGGGCCATAACTCTAGATGTAATAAACGGAAATTGCTGAAATTCAATAGGCTTCTTCATTTCGCTAATTTAAATAATGCATGTAAATTTCAGATAGATTGGATGATAACTTTTGGCGTTAGAGCGTTCACAAGAAATTGTGGACGATGGACGGACGGACAGGGGCGACGGCAATATACGTCCACATTTCAATGTGGGCGTATAAAAATGAATATTATCTGACTTATGTTAGCTACATAGAGTTAGAAAGTTACGCATGATTAACAAGACGTTAAGCCTGACACATGATTAACAAGACATTAGGCCTGACACATGATTAACAAGACATCAAAATATCAATTGTTGAAATAGACAAACCTAGGGTTTGGTGGCTAACTGGTTTAACACATGAATCATAACGTCTGTCATTGAGTCAAATGGCATGGTTTTGAGGAGAAGGATCGTCTGTCCAACCTTGATATTATATTCCCGTATCCTGCTGTTCCGATTCATGTTAAGCGGGTAAAACTATAATTTTCTGATGTAAAAATGATGACACTGTTACACTATCGTTAACTCTTCTTTATTTTACATGTTAAAAAAAGTGTGGAATAAAGGTGAGAAAATTTCTTTATTTTAAAGGCGTAACCTCCCCAACAGCAATTGTTGTGACACCTGAGGATATATTTTCTTGTATTATATGACCTTGTAGATGGTGAAGCAGTTTTACTCAGATAATTGACAGTTGAAATGTCAGTTTGTCAATTATAGGAAGAAAGGGTAGAATTTTTGTAAACATATTTGGTATTTGATGGTAGATGGTCAAAGATTTGTAGACAAACATGACCTGAGGCTATCCATGTTTCGCAAACTATCAAATATAACAATTGGGAGATATACAACAAGCAATTGTGTTAATTATTGATGACATTTTCTTGAAAGGTCTCTTGGTAAATTGTTATATGTTCATTGAACTTAAACCTTTTTCACATTGAAACTATTTTATCTTGAGTCAACTGTCAATCAGTACGAAGGCCCATTAGTGCTAAACAAATAAAAAAATTAATGCGTTTAAACGAGTTATAGTATCTCATTTGAAAGAATTAATATAAATAAAATAAAATCAAGTATGAACAATCCAAACCATAAGACAAAATTCGAAGTCCTAAAAAAGCGGTATAGGCAAAATGGTGTAATCAGCAAATGGACTGTTCACCGTGTACAAAATACACGACAAACAGTGGTAACAGGTGTCCGGAAGAGTAAGCTTACCCTGTCTGGCGCCACACCCACCATAGCTGCATCCAAACTATTAGGCAAAATCTCGGTAAAATAGCGTGATTGGCCAATGGACTATCGGTATGCAAAATGCACGTTATAAACAATGTTAACGATGTAGTAGACAGACATTATCAGGGAGATAGTATACGCGTCAATTAAATATATCTAGAATAATAGCCGAGAGAGACATGTTATATTTACCAATCAAGTCAATATGACGGCCATAAAACTTTTTAAAGGTTTTAATAAGTTTAGTTCGCAAGTATCCCTGTAGTTGAAGCTTAGATGACAAATGCCTCGATCTACTTAAAAAATCAGAATAAAATGAACAAGCTCTCGCGTAACGAATTAGCTGAGACACAGACCCTCCATAAGCTGGTGATATCGGAATGTTACTACACATAAATGGAAAGTTAACAATCGGAAAGTCAAAGTCATCATGTTTATCGTACAATTTAACACTAAGTTTATGGCAATTGTCAAAATCGAGGCGCAGATCCAAGTAGGAAGCGTAATTGTCACTGTCAGTAGTGATTTTAATTTCGAGCTCATCAGGATATATGAATTCTACATAATCACAAAATTTTGGATTATTCAGTGATAGAACATATCTCGTTTGAAGGAATTAGTATCTCATTTGAATGAATTAGTATCTTGTTTGAACGAATTGGTATCTCGTTTGAATGAATTAGTATCTCGTTTGAAGGAATTAATTATCTCGTTTGAACGAATTAATTATCTCTTTTGAATGAATTAGTATCTTGTTTGAATGAATTAATTATCTCGTTTAAACGAGTTAGTATCTCGTTTGAACGAATTAATTATCTCGTTTGAACAAATTCTTGAACGAATTAATTATCTCGTTTGAACGAATTCATTATCTCGTTTGAATGAATTAAGATTTCGATTGTACAGAAGGGTGTTAAAAACATGCAGAAATTGTGATCCCAACAGGTGTTTTAAGTAGAGATTATGTCATTTAATACATCAGTTCTGTACTATTTCTATCACTACCGTCAGTAGAAGGAACTACATTTATGAGAAGGAGAATTAGTATAGACTATGTTGGAAGTTATCCACGTTTTAAAAGCCGAATATGTTTAATGTTAGCCTGAATTAGGCAGAACATCGTAGTGAAGTCATTGTTTTATGACATGGTTAAACAGGCAAGAGCTAATTCTGCCTATTGCAGGTCTTTCTGTAGGCCTTAAATGTTATATAAACTATTCATTAGATATTTATTAACATATTTAAGTAGATTAGAACGGTTCGGCCATTTAATGATTTAATTGAAAAATGGTAAAGCGAGACTAAGCCTCGAACAACCAGTACGGT